ACTAGCACTCAAACTTTCCAGAAAAGCTTGCAACTTACCTGGATCGTCATTTAGTAGCACCATGTCGTCTGCGTACTCTAGATCAGACAATCTGCCACCCGGGCGTAAAACGATACGCGTATTCTAGCATGAAGATAGGACTTTTTCAATAAGTAAATCTATGACAAAGTTATATAGAAACGGACAGAAAGGGCAATCCTGTCGAACACCACTTTCCGTTGTGATATCGGGCGAAAAAGTGCCGTAAGCGTGGACTTGGCTTCGGCTATCTTTATAGAGGGATAGTGATGTTGAAATGAGCTCGGGCACACCCTTCAGAGCGAAGCAGCTCCAGATTTTAGAGCGATCGACTGACTCGAAAGCTGATTCCAGATCCAGGAAGACAGAGATGATGGGTTTAGGAAAAGTGTCTCTGTGTTGTAGGATTTGATGGCGAGTGAAGATGTGGTCGATACAACCTCGACTAGGCCTAAAACCAGCGTGGTGCTCATGTGTGCACTCTTCACGGGTGGCAGACAATCGACGGAGTATGATACCTGCGAGAATTTTATAGGCAATTTTGAGTAAACTAATTCTTCTATGGTTTTCACAGGAGAATCTGTCGTCCTTGGAGATCGGTATTATCACCTATTCACACCATTCAGTTGAAATCTGTTCCCTCTCCCACGTTGAACCCAGGAGTTTTGTTAACTCCAAAACCAAGACAGGACTTCCATCCTTAAAAACCGATGGGGACAGCCCGTCGAGGTCGGGAGCGTATTTCTCGGGTAACCTCCATTTGAGATGAAGGACTGATGTCAGCTGGTAATATTTGCACAGTTGAACCGGATGTAGGGAAGTCTTGTGCTGACGACAGCCAGCTGAACTGAGCCGTGAAATGTTCTGTCCATTGTTATGTCTTCAAATTGTTATTTTTGCGCCGCGTTTATCCGTTGCCTACCATTAGGTCGCACAGTACTATATCACAGGAGAACACCACAAGTGCAAAGAACACAAGATGTATAGCACAGTAACAATAATAGCACACGGGAAACGAGAACAGCGGACTAACACTAAGTCCTTGAGCAGATGATAGTTCTAGGAGCAGAAGCTACCTAGGCGAAACAGGACGGTTATTGATCTCTCAGGCCTCCCAAACACGAGGCAGAAAACACGGTTTCAACAGCACGGGATTTTAATGGTGTTGAACGCAAGTCACGAGTCAATTTACAAGTTTTACTCTGCTGCTTTTATGTGACTAAAAATAACATTGGTCAATGCAAGAAAACGAATGTACCAATGAAATACGCACTGAGCAATGTTCAACCGGTCATATGTTGCGGACCAGATGGACGGAGAGAGTGAATATTGCCGCACGACGCAATATTACTGATTTATCTCCACGAGATTAGTATTGATCCGCGATGACCCCAATTTGAGTCGATGGTGTTGTAAAGTTGTTTGGCTTTGTTCACAGAATTAGCAAGTGTGCAGCCGGGCTTATCTTGGGA